TCAGTCCTGGGATTTCATGCCCCCATTGACACTTTTTATTTAGATTATATCACAAGGCGGGCTTCGGCCCCACATTTTAGGGTCAGCCTGTCACTCACCGTCACCGTGGAATAGCACTTAAGCTATTGCAATTGTTTGTTTTATTTCTGTGGATCATAAGCGGGTGATCGACCCTGAGTAATAGGAACTCACATGCCAGCCCACGTTTTAGAAGGGTATTCGAACTATGACCTTTAAAAAAAAAATCGTACTTTAGAATAATACCAAATAGTTAGTCGGCCCCTGTAATGTTTAGAATTCTAAAATCTATTCATAGTGACAAGAATAACTTAGTCTTGACTTACAAGGCATCAGTTCGAGATTATGGACAGTAGGTAACTTGTTGAAGGTCATTTACATAAAGTGAAGTGCCTCAGAAACTCAAATTTCGTTATGTGAATACATTATATCATGATTCAAACTATCAGCCTCGAAAGCAAAAGCAGATATTGAGCATAGAAGTAAGGGTGGCTACACTAGAAAGTGTGGGCAGGGAGACCGGGGTGGGGAGAGGAGGGGAGAGGGGGTCGAGGTGGAAGGAGCAATAGTTTGAATCATTGTAGTGTTAAGTATGCAGCTTCGTGAAAACAAACCGAAGTCAGGAGTACTCTCCTTCCTCCAGTTGTGACTGTGTTTGGCGGTAACATTTTCGGGAGTCCACCAAGCCCACAGTGCGCCAATAAAGTCCAGCTGACTCCAAACGGCGTCTTACTCGGCAAAGGTGGAAAGAGGCACAAGCGTTTGCCTACGCTGACGACCAACAAAACTCCTGCCAGGGGCGAAGGTCAGAGTCACTGTCATGGTCAAGGCTTTGAGGTATCGAAGCAGTCTCCGCAAGCCTGTAGACTGGACCTAAAACGAGACTCCAGGCAGCTTGGCCAGGTGAGGGATCGATTGAACAGACAATAAATGACAGTTGGCTTGGGGTATTTATAGACCACCGCTATTCTGCAAAACTATACCTTCGTTCTTGGACATTACCTAACTTCATATGTTGAACAATCTTTGACACCTTTTGACCCCTGTTCTTGAACAAAGAGAAATACAATTGTATGAATAGGTAGATAGATTAATTGTTTCAGTATTTAGTTAATAAGAGTGAGTTTTTCGGGACTTGCAATACGACAGGTCACATAAATGAGGAAGACCGGGAGGGGTTACTAGAAGAGGAAAAGAAGGGGAGATATGTACTTTAGATGTTTAATGGGAGAGAAATAGTAAACCATGCCAGAGTGCCCAGCAACCATCCACATAGATTGATAGATAGAAAATATGGATAGATAGATAGATAGATAACTTGGGTAGTGCAAGGCTTTAACACGATGATTGGGTGATTACATTTTCAAGTTTCTTTCTTACGCTGTTGTATACATGGATAGATACATTGATGAATGTGTGGACAAATACAAAGATAGATAAGTTGATCTGAGCTGGGTATTTTTTTTGTCTATTGAAGGTTGGACCTCAACAGATTGAACTGGTCAAGATACACCATCGGGATCTCACCGAGGTCCTTCTTCAAAACGCTCGCGATGACCAATCTGAGGCCACCATATCGGAACGCACTCTACGGTCTCTTGCAACAAGCACAGCTGAAGCGGTAGACGTCATCTCAGAGCGTTCTGGCACGAGGAATATACAGGTGTTGGCCAGCGGTTTGCCCGATGATGAAAACCCTAGTCGAGAAGACAGCGGTGGTCAATCTAACACAGAGTCCGAAATCACCTGGGTCTCTGCTTTCGATGACATGGAGACTGACCACAAAATTAGACATGAGGTTTGTGTTTGTCTAAAGTGGTTTTTTGTTGTTGTTTTGTTTTGTTTTGTTTTTCGGGTTTTTTTAAAAGATGGGGAGGGGGATGGAGCGCAGATGAAAATGTATTTCATGTGGTGGAGCTTTGGGGCTAAGGGTTGTGT